GGGAGTGGTCGGCCATGGGACCTGTGGCTGTCCAAAACCCACCACAAAGCATTGTTTCAGGGTAGCCGCTATATCTAAGCTCACTTACAGCTCTGAGAGCCCAGTCTGGAGGTCTTCAGAGGCCATGGGACCAAGTCCAGCTTTTGTTGTCCTTTACTTCAGCATGGCAGCATTAGGGAATGAATTGCAGACAGCAGCGAGACCTGGCATTGAGCAGTTGAAGAGCCCCAGTGGGCCCCATGGAGATGCTGTGGAGAGCATTTGAACCATGCTGCACTTCTTGTCCCACAGGACCACAGCACGAATCCTATCGGCGCTGCATCCACCATGGCTCACGAGATGGGGCACAACCTGGGGATGTCTCATGATGAAGACATTGCTGGCTGCCGCTGTCCTGTCCCCAAAGCTGATGGAGGATGTGTCATGGCGGCGAGTGTTGGGTGAGTGAAGGAGAAAGGGGAATATCCCTGGCCAGCAAATATCTCAAGGTGTCCTCTGGCACTGTCCTGATGGTGTGAAGCCTGTGAGATGGTCAGGTTTGGGTGGACACTTCACTTGAAGCTGCACTTCAAAGGTCTGTTCGTGGCCCTCCAGCTTCTCCCTGGGCTGGTGACTGCAAGGGCCCTTGGGCTCTCATCTCCGCTCATCACTGCCTGTTTTTGTGCCCCTTCAGCTTGGTTTACCCCAAGCTCTTCAGCCGTTGCAGCGAGCAGGACATGTGGCAGTTCCTCGGGGACCCCAGGACCAGCTGCCTGCTGAACATCCCCAGGGCGGATGAGCTGTACGGGGGGCCGGTGTGCGGGAACCAGTTTGTAGAGCGGGGAGAGCAGTGCGACTGTGGCACGCTGGAGGTAGGGATGCTTTCTGAGAGCCCAGGAAGGAGGGTGGGCGGCAGGGACTTGAGTCCTGTCATTCAGACTCGGAAAAGCTTGTGCAAGCCTTTTCCCTGGACATGGTGCTTTGCAAGACTCATCTTCCTTATGTTCCTGACGCTTCTGCCGAAAAGTAACTTGCGGAGGATATTCATTAACTTGGATGCGTCCCCCCCCTTCATGTAGCTGGCTGTGATTTTTAGCAGGAGTGTGTCTAGGAAAGCTGGACATCCCCCCAGCATATCCTCCAAAGAGGTGATCCAAGGAGGGGAACATCATGGCATGTTGTTCTTTCAAAAGCCATGTTCAACTTTTCCTCATCCCTAACGGCCCATTACTGCATCGCAGGGAGGAGATTTAAGACAAATGGCCAGGTGATGTCTCTGGGATAAATCCCTGGGTCACAGCCCTGCTCTGGGACCTGAAGGGATGCTCCCCTGATGCAGAGAGCACAGAGATCATCCTGTTTTCTCCTTCCTGGAGATGTGCAAAGGGTGCTACCAGAGAGCAGGGGCCCAGGTCAGGCCCCATCTTCTGAAAAAAAATCTCTTCTGGTCCTTTGGTTTGGTGTTGGTAATGGGGGTAAACAGGCAGCAGGACTGGTTCACACCTGGGATGATGCTGTGGTTTTGCCCCATGGTTCACCCCATGGTGGCTACGCTGCCATTGGCACCTGGTGACATGGCAACTGGGTCCCCCCCAGAAAAGGGTCTTTCAGGGGACTTTCAGGATGGTTTCAGTCCCTTCCTGTCTCACAGGAGTGCTCCGACCGCTGCTGTAACGCCACCACTTGCCAGCTGAGAGAGGGAGCCGAGTGCTCCCAGGGGGACTGCTGCCAGGACTGCAAGGTACTGCTGCTGTTGGGGGGACCAACTTGGCAGGGAAGGGAGCTGGTGGGTGTGCAGTCCTGCCCCGGGCTCCTCCAGAGCTTCCCGGTAGAGGCAAGGTGTGTCCATAGCCCACTGGAGAGCCTGAAGGCCCTCTGTAGCAGCCTGCCCAGAGCCAAATGAACCCAGTGGTTTTGGGGGTAATCACACTTTCCATTCAATGCTCTCACTACATGGGACAGTCAGCATCTTGGGTGGGAAGCGGTTGGGAAGGTGAAGCAGCCTCTGTTTCTGGCATCCTGGAGCCCAGGTCCCCTGGCGCTGTTAGGTTAGGTGCAGGATGAAAGGACTGGTCAATGTTCAGAAGCAATCAGTGTGGCCCATTCCTGATTTGGGAAACCAACCTGCCTCTTCGGCTCCATTCGTCCAAGAGAAGGTTGAGTTACATGCATTGGTTCCTGCACACAGGCATAAGAAATGCCTTGATGTGAAGAGATAGGGCTGGAAGAGGACCCGGGACAAGTTCAGACTAAAGGCAAAGCACAAGGTGTTGCCTACAGGGAGAGACATAACTATGGGAAGACCTAGTCCAAGGTCTGATGGTGTCCGTCCTGTGCAGTAGCTCAGTCAATAGCAAATGTCTTTGTGCCAGAGCGGCACAAGCTGCCGTATCTGGATCTGTGGGGTGCCGGGAGATGTTTTGAAGACCAGGGTGCTGCTGGGCTGTGGTGCCTGTGTGGATCTGGGGATGTGAGAGCATCAAGGCAGTGCTGACATCCCCTTTTCTGTGCAGTTAAAGGCTGCTGGTGCGCTCTGCCGGCCCAGCAAGAACGACTGCGACCTGCCCGAGCACTGCACTGGCCTCAGTGCCGAGTGCCCAGAGGATGTCTTCCAGGAGAATGGCATCTCCTGCCAGAATGGCAACGGCTACTGCTACAATGGGGCCTGCCCCTCACACGGCGAGCAGTGCCGCACGCTCTGGGGCACAGGTAGCTACTCCCCCACGCTGCCCACCCTCCTTGCCCCACATGCTGGATGATATGCCTGGAGCCCCGGCTCCTGGGGCCAGGGCATTGCTCGGCTGTGGTCCCCTCCTGCATCCCTAGCTGGAGTGCTATGGCTGCTGACCCTAAAGCGTGGCCACTGGTGCCAGCACCACCGGCTTGCTGCAGGCTCTGGCTCCGTGTGACCCTTTCCGTGTGTCCCGCAGAGGCCCAGGTGGCTCCTGATGTCTGCTTTAAGCACAACAGTGAGCAACACCTTCACCTCCACTGCCTCACCGAGTATGGAAAGCAGCCCTGCAGCCCCAAGTAAGGAGCTGGGGATGGGGGTTAAGGGGGTGGTGTCCATGTCTGGCGACAGCACCATGGGGCTGAGCAAAGCTCCCCAGCCCCGTGCCACCCCCGCTGCTGGTGCTCATGGCTGCTTCTTCCACAGGGATGTGAAGTGCGGCACGCTGCTGTGCCTGAGCGACAACACAAGCCCTGTCCTCGGCGGCGGCTCCTACTCCCTCTTCTTTGGCCGCTTCAAGTGCAAGGCAGTCATTGCCAGCAGCGACGCCAATGAGGTGGTGGCCAAGCTCAGGCTGGTGCCCACTGGTGCCAAGTGCGGAGAGGAAATGGTGAGCGTGCTGGCAGATGTGCTGGGGTGGTGGGGGGAGGTGACCACCGGCCATGGGGACCCGGGGCAGCCTCAGAGTCCCCCTGCCTGCCCCCAGGTCTGCTACGCTGGGCGCTGCCAGAACCTCCTGGTCTACGGCAACAAGAACTGCTCGGCCAAGTGCAACAACCATGGGGTACGCTGTGGGATCATCCTCTCCCAGGGCAGCTGCGGGGCCCGGGCGGTGGTCCTGGCCCCTACAGTGTGTCCACCACACTGACACTTTCCTCCCTCATCTCAGGTGTGCAACCACAAGCGCGAGTGTCACTGTGAGCCAGGCTGGGCAGCGCCCTACTGTGAGCAGAAGATTTCAGGGGTGGCGGCAGGTATGGCATCCCCTGTGCATGACTGGCATGAGCTCCCTCAGCCAGATGCGTGTGCTGGGGAGGGATGCTGGGGAGGGGGTCGGCGCCCTGCCATGGTGCTGGAGGGCACCACTCCATGGGGCGTCCCTGGCATGGGAGCACCTATCCTGACGCTAACCGGGTCTCCACAGGGAGCAGCAGCGTGGTCTTGGCGACTATGCTGGCTGTGCTGGCGCTCTCCGGCATCCTGCTCGGCAGTGGTGTTGTGCTCCTCAGAGGCAGGGGGACAAGGCACTTCCAGAAAGGGTAATTTCCCCCCTCCTCTGCCCCACAGCAGGGCTGAGCCACGGCCACACAGGCTGAGCTCAGGTGTTGCCTGGAGCAGCCCCCCATTATCCCTGTGCCCCACAGGAGGACCTCCAGTGGGCCTGCTGCTGGCCTCGCCAACCCACTCTTCCAGGAGGGTGGCCGGACGCGACTCCCCCGCCGCCAGCTGTCCCGTCACGACATCGGCCACCCAAACCTGCTCAGCAGCACAGCGGCCCCGCGGGATGCCTGGGCCCTCGGGCCCTGCCGCCCAGCCCCGCAGGTAAGGGAGCTGAACAGAGCCCCAGTGCAGGGCAGCCTTTGTGGCATGGGCAGGAGGGCAGCCTCTCACCCTGTATTTTGCTGACTCTGCAGCTGCCAGCACCAGTCCCTCAGGTGACATCTCCAGCCTCTGCAGGATGGCCCCTGCAGGTAACCACCACTCTGAAAGCCACCACTGCCTCGTGGCAGGGTGGCCTGTCCTTCCCATGGCCAGGGCCACTCTCAGATGTCCCCCCAGCCTCCTCTGGCCTGACCAGCCCCAGGTGTGTCGGGCACATCCATGGGGTGGCCCAGGCGGCTGATGACTTGGGGGAGCCCCTTCCTCTGCCTCCTGTCCCCCTCTGGGTCCCTCCTTGGTGCCCAGGAGAGGGACTCAGGGCTCTCCTCTCCTCCTGCCAGGCAAAGCCGAAGCCACCCAGCAAGCCTCTCCCAGCACTGAAGAGCAAAGCGCCGTGCCATGGCGAGGGGCCACCAGGACCAGCCCTCCCTCACCCCCCACCAACACCCCCCTCAGTCTTTCAGCGGGGCGTCCCCCCAAAGGTGGCCCTGAAGCTACCCCTGGCCAGGAGGTGACCAAGGATGCTCCATCTGCCACCGTGGCTGAGGAGTTGCTGGCTCTGGCGCTTGTGTGGCACAGCTGGGGAGCCACCGTCTCACTTCCACCCTTACTTGAATCACTCACCAGACCTTCCCCCGGGAGGGCACCAGTGTTTACAGATATTTGAGTTGTGCCTTAACAGACTTTGTAGCCTCATGGTTGGCCCAGGGAGAGCCGTCAGCCGGGGCTTCGTGAGAAGACCAGGAGTGGGGACAATGCCAGCTCTGGTTTTGAGGCCAGCCCTGAGTTGGCCTAGGCTCTCCTGTGCCTTGGGAGCTGCTGCCTTCTCTCCCAATATCCTGAATGTGTCCTGCTCCTCCTGCCCCTTCCCTGCTGGGGCCGCAGTGAGGAGCTTCTGACATCGCCTGCTGGGCTTTCCGGGGCAGGAGTGCTGCACTGCAGGGACCATGCCCTGGGGCCACTGCCCCAGCTGGGGACAGTCACACAGGGGGGTCTTGCCAGGGGCTTTGGCAGGTCCAAGCTGGGTTTGGCCTCCCCGCTGGGCTTTTATCTCTGAAGTTATCACTTGAGTTACTGTTATCCTGAAAGGGAATTTCCTGGGAGCCTTTTTACAGCAGCCATTAACTTAAGACCCTTATGTGACCATTTTGAGCCATCTGTTGTGAAACCAGACCTCCCCATTTTTGATATAATTTAGGTTGAAGGCTTTTATACCAATAAAGACTGAAGGTAGTGGTGTCACAGGGTGTCTCTCGGTAGAAGGGGGAAGCACAGGCAGCGGAGCAGGAGGGCAGTGGGGCAGGAGGGTGGCAGCAGGCAGGGAGCTGCCAGTTGCTCAGGGTGGATCTGGCATGGGTGGAGCCAGCAGGGAGAAGGGCTTGAGCTGAGGTCCCAAATACTGTGCCAGAGCCACGGGGAACAAATGGCAGAGCTTCCTGCCAGCTGCACGGAGCAAGGCTGTCATGGGGGCTGCAGAATGCTGCAGCAAGTCCCTGTGACCCCCCACAGCCCCAGCTGCCAAAACAGGCCCCAGACTCACTCTCTGACTGAAGACAAGCCACCATGAGTCCCACCACCACCTTGACTCCCATCATCCTAGTCCAAGACAAGCGTTCATGCTTGCAGGCAACATCGGTGCTCAGGGACCAGCCCGCAGGCCCCAGGGACACCAGCCACAGTCCCCAAAGACACCGCTTGCACACAGCAGCCATGCCTGCTTGGGAAACGCTCCTGCACTGGCTGCACGCGAGCAATGTGGCAGCTCAGGTGGGGGCCCAAGGGCCACCAGGGCTCAGCTCCCACCATGAGCTTCGGAGGATGATAGCAGAAACACAGCAGGACTGTAAGTGCTGTCCCTGCTGCTCAGGACCATCCTGTGGGTTTTCTTTCAGCCCAGGCTGCTCATGGGGCTCCTAAGGTGGCAGTCACTGGGGACATTCAACTAGATGCAGTGTTACTGTGGGATGAGAGGCATAGGTGTCCCCCCTCCACATGCCTACAGTGATACTGGCCCTAGGACACATAAAGCCACCAAGGAAATGGTAACAAAATAGTTTTATTCTGCTTTATCAAAAGAACTTAACACTGTGCATGTAAACTTGAACATACATGTTTCCTTAAAGGTGCGGATCCAGTGGCAGACGCCTTTAGTCACACAAGCACACAGACCTTTTGAACGGAGAGAAAAACCAGTTCAAACCAATGTTCCCAGTTGCACCCATGTTCCCGCTCTGCAGCTCCCATCTCAGAGAGGAGCAAAGCCCAGACTGGGGTGTTAAAGTCATGGTGATTCCCTCCTCCCACACACCTACTCAGGCTTCTGAAGTGGTGGCTGGGGAAGCAGAGAAGGATGGAGGAGGCTTTTGCAGAAGGCACTGAGCATCACGCACACGTTGCTGCAGGACTTCAAACCACAGGAGCATCCCCAGGTGTCCCTCAGACCACATGGGTAGGAGGTGGCTGATGCATACCCAGCCAGAGCAGGATGACATTTAGCCAGAGTGACAGCCACTAATGGCAAAGCCATGCATCCACCTGGATGGCTGCAGGGAGGCCCAGCAAGACTCAGATCCAAAGGGAAGTAGCCCTCCCTGTAGGGGGATCTCGCTCTGATCACTGCAGGAGAGCTGTGAGCTGTCTGGTTATTGCTTCTAGTGGTTCCCCTTCGTGCCCTTGCTTCTTGTCATCTCCAGGCTAGCAGAACCTACCCTGTCCACCCAGCCTGATGCCCAGGGTTTGATGCCAGCACTAGGTAGTGCCCAACCCCAGTGAATACCACATGGAGACAAGTCTACATCTCCTCCAGGAGTGCCTCTGTTCTAAAAAGCCCGCCTTAATCTCAAAATTCAACCGAAGTGGCCACTGCAAGCCAGCAACACCGAGGAGGTGGAGGGTCAAAGAGCTGCAACTCCACTGGCTCCTTGAAGCCCTTCCCACAGGAGAAATGGGACCTTGCAAGTCAAACGGTACTTCCAGGACACATTTCAAACACCACAGCTATGAAATACACTGCCATCCCCTCTCTGCCCTGGCACCCTTCCCCTGGAAAGGGCACTGCTGTGCCTGCCCGCTCCTCTCCTGCCATCAGCCATGGGTTTCAGCTCTGCCCTGCCTGCTGGCTGAGCTGCCTTCCAGCACGACATGCAGACATCCTTCCTGCTCCTCTGCCCACCGGGGTCCTTTGAAGGGTGCTCTTCATCAGGAGGGCACTGTTTGCCCAAGCCTTTGGCAGGTGAGGTCATGAGCCCGCCCCATGCAAAAGATTGGCTTAGTGCTCCCCAGGCTGGGATCTGCAAGGCACATGGCTGTGCCACAACCCCTGTGCACCAGGTGTGTACAGCAAAAACTGGAGAAACCTCTCCTCCTGGCAACAGCAGTACCCTTCCTCTCATCCTCAGAGCATGAGGAAGCATGCTCTCCCATGACCTCCCTGGAAGCCGGGACTGGTGCTCAGCACCTTCAGCTGGCCTCTCACTGGGGCAGGGTCCTGGTCCCTGGCTCCTGCCATGGCTGGGTTTGAAGAGGAGCTGGTATCCTGGAGCAGAGCACCAACTGGGCCTTGGGAGTTTGCAGACAGGTGGAGGTGAAACTGCTGCAGTCCCCCAGTCATGTATTACCCAAGCTGGCCAGCAGCGGCAGCAGGAGAGGCAGGGTCAATACATCCCTGGTCTGCCCCAGAGATGGAGGAGAGGCAGCCAGGGCAGGAGCTGAGACAGCATAAGGCACTGTATGTTACCAAACTTCCTTGAGGAGAGACACTACCATCCTCCAAGTCAGGCCACACAGCACTGGAAAGCCTGAAGCCCACACAACTCGTTTGGGGAAATCATTAGCAGAGGTAAAGTTCAGACCATTTGTTTTGGGTTGAATGTTTCACCAAGGCAAAAGCTAAGCATGTTCCTCCCCTTGCCATGAGGCTGCAGATGGTGCCAGGGACAGAAGATCTCAATGCCAGCACCAACCAGCCTGTCAGCATCAACCGGCGAAGCGCCCGGAGTGTCACCACCAACCGGCCTGTCCGGTGAACCACGCCAGGGCTGAGCGCTGCACATGGCTGCGCCCGAGGGGACAAGAAAGCAGGATGAACGTACAGATATTCCAGGCTGGCGGAGGAGAGGTGGTCTCTGAACATATAGTGGGTTTGGAGGCAGGCAATGCTGCAGTGCTACCAGCTGGGGAACGGCGTTCCAGCTCAAGCTCCTGCCAGTTGCTTCCTCAGCCATCATCTTCTGGGATTGTCGCAGAACACGAGAAACAGGTCCTAGAAACAAGCACGTCCTCACAGGCAAAGGGGAGGACAGAGGAAAAGAGGAAAGCAGATCGTACCAGCAGATTTCCCCCCTGAGCACATCTCTCTCACCTTGCAGTGGCACATGGGGAGCAGGGGTTGGATATATTACAATGCACACCAGGAGAAAAGATCATTCTGCCAGCACAGCTCGTGAGTCAAAAGCCCCGCAATGCAGCGAAGCCTGGCCAGTGATGAGAGGACCAGTGACAGACTCCCCACCGCGGCTGTTCAAGGACACACGAGGCAGGTCCCATTTCTTCTTGGAGCAGTGGATTTTGCACTGGGGAGCAGCAATGCCTCACCTACTTTGCAGCTGAGGTGTCAAAACATCTGATGTGCTGCGGAGCGGGGTCCCTTCACTCTTCTCTTCCCCTTCACTTTGCCAGCAAGGCAGAGCAGTGGAAATTCAGCCCCCTTTCCCTGGTGAAAAGACCTACACAGGGAGGCTGGGGTCTGAGCAAAGATTTCCGAGCCCTGTTCCCAACCAGCTGCTCAGAGGTGCTCCATGCACTCTGAAATCTGGTTTACGGTGCAAAGTGAGACCCAGCCACCCAGCTGAAATCTACTACAGTCAGTCACAGGCAGCCAGTGTGATGCTCTTGCTTGGAGAGGGGGAGTTACAGAAGCCCGTTAGAGATTGCTTGCTCCGAGTCGTTATCTAGTGCCACTGCCTAAAGGAAAGAAGAAGATAATGGCTACGCAGATCCTATTCAAATAACCTATTCCACACCAAACCACTCCTCGCCAGGCCTCGCCCTGAGCAGGAACACGCAGCCTCCACTGGCCAAGGAGAGCCCACTCCACTGGAGTCCTTGAGGAGAGTTAGATAGTGCCGGTTTCTACCTGCCTTGGAGTCCACAAAGCAAAGCTTCATCGGCAGGACGAAGGAAACCTCTTTGCTTGGCCTCAGCGAGGAGCACTGGGGAATGACCAGTGGGCAGCAACATAGCACTCAAAGCAACATCTCCTACCTCCAGAGTAATGCTTGCTAAATAATTGCACCTACTGCAGAAGGCTTTCCTGGTGTCTGTCTTTTAATATTCCAGTATAGGTATGTTAGTACAGGACTATCCCTCATTTGGAAGCACCAATTTAATAGGGGAAGAAATGGAAGAGGCAGAGCACTTGCAATGTGTTGCTAGAAGAAAATCAACCCAACTGTCACCTATACACAAGATGTCCACGCATGCGCTGCATCCGCCCCACCAGCACAGGGCAACATCC